GATAGTTATTTACCCACATTTAACTTAAAATTACACAGCTATCTCTAATTAAAAACAACTAATATACATGTATTTTAACGTGTGTGAAGCAATACATTTTGTTTCCCAAAGGGTCAGACAAAATTACCTTTAATTTTTATAAAGTTTAGGTCTGAAAATGACCATCTCTTGACGAGTCGATGACGTCACCTGCACTCAGTGTGCACTGTCCCAATTCCGCCTTTTTTGCACGCTTGTAACCTGCGCACTCCAACCCTGGTGTGCACTTCGAACAAATGCACACTTCGTAGAGGTGTGTAGGGTGCAGTGTCGGTATTGGGACTGGGCCTTAACATCAGACCAGAGCCGACCTGAGTTGGTGTGAGAAGCTATTTTCACAGAGATGACTTGTGTTTTTGGACCCGTCAACAATATGAACACCATGATGATGGTTTTGCTCCAACAAAAACACACACAGTTCTTCCCCAGGCGCTGTACTGCGACGACCACTGCTCCTCACTCGGGCCCTAGTGTCATTCCAGAATGGGTCAAATGCAGATGAGAAAGTTCGAATAAATAAAGTGTACATTTTAAAGTTTTTACTTAATAATATGCACAAATGCCCATTTGTGACCTTAAGTGAAAGTTAAACACACATCAACAGTCTTGGTGATAAAATAGTTTGTGTCCAATAAAAAGGGCAGTTGAGGACAAACATGGGTCAGAGAAGGTCTAGTCTCACTTGTAACAACGAATAATCTTTTACTTTAACCTCACCAAGGTGACCGGATCTGGAGCAAAGATATACAGACTACAAATATGCAGTTATTTATCACAACAAAACTGGAGGTTTTCAACAAACTTTCACATGTATTTACATCTGTGTCTTGCCCAAAGGAAGACACAAATGTCTGTATAGCAGCTGAAAGATAATTTGGGGAATTCTATTCTTCCATTTGTTGTGTCATTAGCAAACAGTCTGACTATCAAAGAGTGTGTTAACAAAGTATAATACAGAGCACGTTCTATATGTATAACACTGCACTGTATGATAATCCATCCATCCATCCATTTTCTACCCTTTAATCCATTTCTGGGTCAGGGGGGTGGCAGTCAGAGATGCCACCCAAGTCTCATAGCACCAGCCCCTCACTGACCCTCTGCAGGTGGTGAGTCCACAGGAGGACGGCAGCTCTCTGAGTGTGAGCATAGCCTTGATCTTTCAGCGGGGGCTTTGGGCAAAGTAGAGTTAAGTGTCTTGCCCAAGGACACAACGACAGCAGTCATCAGTGGGAGTCGGTGGAGAAGGTGCAGAGGTGGGAATTGAGCCCACGACCTTCTGGCCTTAAGGCCAATGCTCTACCAACTGAGCTACTGTCGCCCCTACTGTGTATGATAATGAATTATCTAAAAACTGATAATTATCAAACCAGTCTGACAGGATTTGGACCTGTTTCCGTGCGCCCTGCGGAGAAGCCTCAGGGCTCCAGACCTGGCGACACTTTCAATGACGTCTCATAACTTCCCCTTACAGTATTACTCAAACTCTGTAACTGGGATTGCAACTAACATTTCTATCTTACATAGTAATGAAGTAAGTCTTCTTTATTGATATGGCCCCTGTCACAGACCAGAGTCTAAATCTATCCAAATACAGTGGGGCATTTAGTCAGCCACCAATTGTACAAGTTCTCCCACATTAAAGGGGAGGCCTGTAATTTTCAGATTTTTGTATTTACTTATTTGCAAATTACGGTGGAAAATAAGTATTCAGTCATCTACAAACAAGCAAGATTTCTGGCTCCCATAGACCTGTAACTCCTCTGTCCTCCGCCTGTTACCTGTATCAATGGCACCTGTTTGTACTCAGTCACACTCCAATCTCTACTATGGTCAAGACCAAAGAGCTGTCAAAGGACACCAGAAACAAAATTGTAGACCTGCACCAGGCTGAGGAGACTTAATCTGCAATAGGTATGCAGCTTGGTGTGAAGAAATCAATTGTGGGCAAGACACTGATAGTCTCCCTCGTTCTGGGGCTCCATGCAAGATCTCACCCCTGGGGTCGAAATGATCACAAGACGGTGAGCATAAATCCCAGAACCACACTGGGGGACCTAGTGAATGACCTGCAGAGAGCTGGGGCCAAAGTAACAAAGACTTCCATCAGTAACACACTACACCTCCAAGGACTCAGATCCTGCAGTGCCAGACGTGTCCCCTGCTTAAGCCAGTACATGTCCAGGCCTAGCTGAAGTTTGCTACAGAGCATTTGGATAATCCAGAAGAGGATTGGGAGAACGTCATATGGTCAGATTAAACCAAAATACAACTCCTTGGTAAAAACTCAACTGGAGGAGAAAGAATGCCGAGTTGCATCCTCGACCTTTTGAATGCGCTGGAAAACTGCAGCAGGTCCTAAGTAGCTCTGAAACAGTTTTGTGCTTTACACATTTTATTTTTCTTGCTTTTTTCTACCTAAGATGTTTCTGCAGTACAGTGTTCATGACTTTGCACTGGTCCAGACTGGAGCGGAGAAGATTTATGGTTCGAACCAAGTGGATCAGATGAAAATCCATTGGAGGAATGCTAACTTTTTGAAAAATGAACCAGCATTTTACTTTGGACCAGAGCAGAGAAAATGCTCCGAACCAAGCGGCTACTCCAGCTTGTGACCTGTCCTGCTCCACCCAGTGGATACTCCACCTCTGCTTCTGTGACCTGAAGGGCTGTTGCTGATTATTGCTATTGTTAGCTTTTTTGGAATGATCAATTTTATTTTTTATTTTTGCTGCTCCTGGACACCTGAATTTCTCCAACGAGGATCAATAAAGTATCTATCTTCCTACTGCGAAGCATGGGGGTGGAAACATCATGCTTTGGGGCTGTTTTTCCCCCGAAAAAGGGCCATGTATTGTGAGATTTTGAATGAAAACTTCCTTCCTTCAGAAAGGGCAAGATGAAACAGAGCTGGGTCTTTCATTATGACTCGAGTCTCCAGATCTCAACCCCATAGAAAATCTTTGGAGGGAGTTGAAAAAGTCTTGTCCAGCGACAGCCCCAAAATATCACTGCTCTAGAGGAGATCTGCATCAAGTAATGGGATAACATAACAGCTGCAGTGTGTGAAAACCTTGTGAAGACTTACAAACGTTTAAGACTTGTACAAAACATTTGTGATTGCCAACGAAGGGTGTAAAACAAAGTAATGAGATTAACTTTTGTTTTTGACCAAACCATAGTTTTCAAATAAATTCTGTGATTTTCTGGATTTTTTTCTCATTCTGCCTGTCATCTTCAAGTGGGAGTTGCACAATTGGTGGCTGAATAAAATACTTTTTTGCCCCACTGTACATTAATAATAAACATTTTCCTGTCCTCTTAAATGCATCAGCTTGATGTGTCAAAAGCAGAATTTATCCTAGAAAGTAATTTTTTCATACAAATAAAAACAAATTGTTAAGTGTTGCAAAAATAATATTGCAGTAATTTATTAAGGCCAATTTTTTATACATTTGTTGTTCTGCGCATTTTTTTTCAGGAGGAAAAAGTTAAATACAAGACAATGATAATGCTATAAAAGCTATGTCTTAAAAATAAAGTACATAAGAACAAATAAAAAACTTCCATTTCAGATCAGATGAAGTACTTTTTGATGTCTTTGAAATTAGTAGTAGTAAGTAGTAGTAAGTAATCTTTATTTATATACCGCCTTTTCACTGCAGATCTGAGTCTCAAAGCGGTTTACAATTGTTAATTTTGGGCATTTGTCTCTCACTCCACACAGAGATGGGAGCGGGGCCAGTACAGGAGGCGCATGCCAGAACTATTGGACATATTTTTAGTGGTAGGGGAAACCGGAGTGCCCGGAGGAAACCTACGCAGACACAGGGAGAACATGCAAACTCCACTCAGAAAGGCCCTGGTCCGACCGGTATTTGAACCCAGGACCTTCTTGCTGAGAGGCGAGAGTGCTATCCACTCAGCCACTGTGCCGCCCATTAAAACTTATTGAAATAAGTTTATATTTTCAATTTGCAAACATGATGGACAGCGCCAGCAGATTAGACAGCCTCCCTGGCCTCCACTGGCTTCATCAGACTGAAAACCAAGCACTATGGATGACATCACATATTTCTCGGGACTTGTGGCCTTCACAAAAGGAACTTGGGACGAACAAGATACAATATCCAAGGAATAGATATTTATGGTCGTGGTTTACCTCTGAAATGGACCTTCAGAACAACACATATATCTCAGTTATACCAATCTTGTTTGTACCAGTTGTTATAACCGTGTTTTGGTGAAATTTGTCCCTGAAACTCCCAGAGCAGTCAATTTGATGGCTTTTCGTTTTGGAAGTGTAATTACTCCGCTTATGTATTTTGTTGGTCTTCAGAACTTTGTGACTTTTTGTGTTTCTGTATGTAGTTATATGTTATTACATCTGAGAAATGATCTTTATCCCAGACGGGTTCAATCTCAGCTTGGAACAAATTCTTGTTACCGTAGCAACACACCGTTTACCTGCAGGAGTTAGGCGTTACGTTTTACTGTATTTCATATATATTAACTAGTTTTAGCATGTATTAAAAATATACTAAAGATAAGAAATAACTATGAATTTTAATAATAACAGTGAAAACCTGAAACTTTCATTAACTTGAATTGGAGCCGTCAAAATGACTGTTCTGGGAGTCCTAGTAGTTTCAGAATTCTGGGAGTCCAAGTGTTAAAAGCGCTGGAAAAACTTGCATCTTCCTGAAAAACTAAAATAAATGTCCAGTTTTTGCTTCCAAACTGGGACTTACTAAATACAGATTGTACAATATTGCCACAGCTCGGGAACGCAGTACTAGCCAACTTTTAAAGATTAGATACTTATACTCAATAAAAAAGAACAAATTAGACTCTTATCTGTGCTCCGTCAGTCTACGAATAACAAAACATTAATATCACATTTAAATACATATATGGCTCATGTGCTATTGTTTGGATCCAACATGGCGTCCGCTCAGGGGTCAATGGCCGTTCTGGAGCTGCAGTTTGTTCATGCACAGATCCTCGGGGCCAAAGGAAACCGGCAGCAGCTCCTCCACAGTCATTCTCAGGTATGAACCGTCTGTTTTGGTCAGGAACACCTCCCAGTCTGCGCCAAACTGAGGCACACAAGCGGCAACGTCAGTGGTGGAAGAAATTCAATTATGGCTGCGATGAGTTCTGATGTCACCCGAAGTGTTGCTGAAGCAGATTAGATAGATGGACAATGCTAGCCCCCTACAGCTCAGAGGTGTCAAACTCATTTTGGTCAGGGGCCGAATGAAAAGAAGAGATTTCCTTTTCTTAAAATAGTTTTTTGACATGACATTACTTTTTTCATGATACTTAAAAGTTTAGGTTTTGCTCTTGGTTAATTTTTCTGAAAACAAATGTGATAATTGTTTTGATTTAAACAAAACAGGACCAGACATTGTTCTATATTTAATTTCTAATTATGTGTTTGGTTAAAATTTTAGAAAAAAATCCATTTGGTGGCTTTCTTGTAAACATAGATGTATGACATGCCTTGGTAGTCTTTTACCATCAATGCTGCAAATCAATAATAATTAGAAAAAAATCATGCCAGGGGAATGTTGCAAATTGTCCCGCGGCCCAGATTTGGCCCACCAGTATATGTTGTAAATCTTCCCCAAATCCAAACACAGCTATTGCTCTTCCACATACTTTGCAGTTTCTCTATAAATATTGCAGTGACTATTTTACGTGGGACTGTTGTTGTTTGGACTTTGGTCAAATCCCACACTTGATTTGACCTTTTGCTGCCGCTGGACAATGTTTCACTCCCCTATATAAACAAACCATTCATTTCCCGAGGCTGGAGCGAGGACACACTGCTCTATCAGACTTAGAATGACTTAGATTAAGGTAATTCAGTGTCTGTTTCTATGACTATGGCAGGGGTGTCAAACTCCTTTTGGTCAGAGGTTGAATAAAAAAATTAGCAACTAGTTGGGGGCCAAAAGATTACAAGGGATATCCTTTTAAAAAAAATGTTAACCTTCATAATTAACATTATGAAGGTTTTTTGACATGACTTTTATGTGACATGAGTTTCTCTAGTATTTTCTGGTTTATTTTTCTGAAAATAAAATGTGTTTCTGTTTAGATTTAACCAAAACTGCACCAAATATAAAGTTAAGCACATTGTTTTTTATTCACTATTTAACTTCTAATGCTGTGTTGAATAAAAATGTCCACTAAAAATCCCAAGGGCCACTAACAATGGTCTTGCGGTCCAGATTTGGCCCACGAGCCTGAGTTTGACATGTCTGCACTGTAGGATACAGGTATTTGCTTATGTGACCTTGAATGTTTACCTGGATTGTTACAAGAGACATTGGCATGGATTGAGTTCATACAAATATTATTTACATCTTAAAACAAAAACAATGTATTAAATGGTCACAGTTGGTCCATCCTTTTGGCTCATTTGGCAATTTTACAAAAGATCAAAATCAGAACATCCAGATCATAGAGAGCGCTTACCTGAGCAAGAGGAGTATACTTTCCAAAGCAAGTCAATAGGGGCTATTGGGCTTCCTTGAGCTTGCAGGGTTTAGCATTGTCCAAAGTTTTTTAATCTTTACTCGTTTTAATGTACTGTAGATATTTTATTCCCATGTGTGATTTTTATGGTTTTTAATCACTTTTTTTGTGTCCATGTTTTTAAAATTTCTTGTGATCTTGTGGTTTGATTTTAATGATTTTTTAAAAATCCTATTTTTCAATTTATATGTAGATTTTAATGTTTATGATTTATGCCTGATGTGGGGCTTTGTGTTGCCATGTGTGGGAAAGGCGCTCTACGAATAAAAGTTGAGTGGTGGATCTCCAGTCTATGCGTGGGTTCCCTTCAGCTGAAGCTGGGAAAAGATTTTTTGCATGTTACATTTTTTAACCAAATCATTAGAATCCTAAGAATGTATCGATGTGACAGTGTGATAATTTAAGCATTTTTTCTGCGCAGTGCATGAAGGTAACGTTGGGCCAGACATGAAAAAAAAACAAACCTCTCTCATGAACTGTCGACAGCCGCCACACGGAGAGATGAACTGTTCGCTCAGGTCACTGCACACAGCGGTTAAACAAATCCAAATGATTTACTTTTATTAATTTGGAATCTGACCCCGCTGTTTTAAAAGACACACACAGACAGACAGACAGACAGACAGACAGACAGACAGACAGACAGACAGACAGACAGACAGACAGACAGACAGACAGACAGACAGACAGACAGACAGACAGACAGACAGACAGACAGACAGACAGACAGACAGACAGACAGACAATGTTGCAAAAGTACAAATGCAACTTGAACTTTGTGTCATGTTTGAAAGACAACAGCAAAATAGACTGAACTGAAAGCAAAACACATGATTTCTTGATATGACACCCAACTCCTCCATAGACACCCAATTTCTCCATATGACACCCAACTCCTCCATAGACACCCAATTTCTCCATATGACACCCAACTTCTCCATAGACACCCAATTTCTCCATATGACACCCAACTTCTCCATAGACACCCAATTTCTCCATATGACAGCTAACTTCTCAATATGACACCCAATTTCTCCATATGACACCCATCTTCCCCATATGACAAACAACTTCTCCATATGACACCCATTTTCTCCATATGACACCCAACTTCTCCAACTTCTCCATATGACACCCAACTTCTCCAACTTCTCCATATGACACCCAACTTCTCCAACTTCTACATATGACACCCATTTTCTCCATATGACACCCAACTTCTCCAACTTGTCGATATGACACCCAACTTCTCGATATGACATCCAACTTCTCGATATGACACCCAACTTCTCCACACATGAAGACATGATTTGTTCAAATTAAAGTGGGTTACTCATACATGATTGAATACTTCTTGGATCCCTCTTTTGCTCCAATCACGGCAAAAAAGCCCTGTCCCAATTCTCACCCTAGCCCTTTATTTGTTCCCTTACCCTAGATTTTGCGCCATGTCTGTGGGGAGTGTACTCAACAAGTACACTCTCACCCTATTGGTGGGCACTTTTCTGTTGAGGGCACTCATAACTCAATTTCCCTCAAAATTGGGACTGGCCCCAAGTCTTCTGTGCTTTTTGCGTCCCCGAAAAGGAATTCTGTGGCCCCCACTGTGAGTCTGGGCTGATTTGGTCTTTACACTTCTGTCTCGCTATAATCTCATAACTCCCGGAGATCTATTGATAATCTGCACTGTTAAATGTCTATTGTCTATTCTGTGTATTCATATATTAGAATTCTATTAAGATTTTATTTTAAATGCATGCCTTTATAGCCATATTTTCATTACTAGCGTGGTTGTTTTCATGAAAAAAACTTCTAAAATTATGTATAACATGCTATATTGGCAGAAGGTCCTGGGTTCAGTTCAAGACCTTTCTGTGTGAAGTTTGCATGTTCTCCCTGTGTCTGCGAAGGTTTCCTCCAGGTGCGCTGGTTTCCCCTACCACAAAAAACATGTACAATAGCATGTCCGCCATGCGTCTCCTGTATGGCAACCCATCTCTGGTTTGTGAAAGGCGCTATATAAATAAAAATGACTTACCTACTTACTTACTAATTAGCCCATACTCTCATTGGGAGCTGCACTGACATTAACCTTTGATGTTCACTAGAGGGCCACAAAATACCTTTATTTAATCATGTATGAATATCACTTTTCATGATATTTGCACACCTTCATTTGGCCCCAGGCAGCTGTGGCTATAATACAATGTCTTTGAAGTGAGTGTTACCTGGAGATAACGACGGCTCTGAAGGAGCGGCAGCCCTCGGACACGGCCTTTGACATGGCATTCCTCTCCGCACAGATTCCCAGATTATAACACGCATTCTCCACGTTACAACCTGCACACCACAAGCTTCTATTGAATACTGCTCTGCTAAAAAAGTACTGTCACATGGTGTACCTCAGGGCTCGATCTTGGGTCCAGTTATTTTATATTACTTTGGTCAAAAATATATATGGTCTGAATGAATAAACACTATAGAGGTTATCGTTTCTGGAGCCTTCGGTCAGCTGAACCTTTTCTCACATCTGTGGACGAGTGTCTCCCGCTGTTGGTGGGACAACTACAACTTAAACTATACTGAAGAGAACTAAACTGAGTCTGTCACTTTAAAGCACTTTAGTCCATCAGAGCTGAAGTTGTCTGAATGATAAATGGTTACTATCTCACCACCAGCGACATTACCGCTATTCACATCATTTTGTGACTCAAAAACACACGTCAGTGTATTCCAATCAACCAGGTATCACATGCTCATATTGACAGAGCTGAAGTTGGCTGGATGACACAGTGGAGTTATGTTTATGATCTCAAAGACTTACTTTGTGTGTTAGCGACAGAGGATCAAATAACACGACACAGAGGACCACAAAATTGATATGACTGCTTTGGAGGAATAAATATAACTTGTGGCAATAATTAGGCCGAGCCAATACGAAGTATTGGGGAGGCCTATTGTTATTCACCGGTTTCATATTATTCTTTTTTTTCCGCATCTTCAATTCGATTTTTGACCCTGAAGACATGCACGAAAGTCTGCACATGGGGGGTCTAAAACGACCGGTCCGGCGAAAAATTTAATAAAATGAACGTTTCCAGATTGTCCGACGCTCGCCGACTCTATAACGCCCCCTAGAAATTTCATTTTTTTTGACCCTCTGGGGATTTTTTTTCAAATATTGGAGTAGGTACACGAAATTCGGATGAGTGATAGATCTCTATGAGACGAGCATAAAAGCCGTTCTAGGCACATGTCTGGGACCGACAGGAAGTCGGCCATGAGGGGCCGAAGTTTCGCCACTAATTTGACTTTTCATTTATAAATTCGAACTAGTCCCTGGTTTTTCATCACACAGAGTTCTACCACGTCATTTCCCGCTCTGGACGGATTGAAGTTATATAATCATCAAAAAAAAGTTAGAAAATCTTCACCGTTTTCGTCCCTCGCCATGGCGAATAAGGCCTTCGTTTTGGCCATTTTCGCTGAGCCCTGAGGGCCACAGGCTCAGACCTACAGAGCTGAGACTCACATCAGTAATATTAGGTTATGGCCTGAACGCAATGACACTAAAATCATTCGCCCAATTTGAGCTCTTTAGCGCCACCTGTCGGAAAGTAATAGGGCACTAGTGCTCGGATCAGCCCAAAAATCGCTGAGTGTATTCTCTGGACCGACACGAGCAAAACATTACATTACGCAAAAGTTGTAAGTCCTACACCTGACCACTGGGGGCGCTGGAAAGTGAATAAATGAGCTTTTTAGGGCAAAATGTTTGTCCGATGAGGCTAAAAATGATTTCAGAAATACAACGTATGACCCTGAACACAACGATATGCAACACACAACTGTGAGTGCAACAGCGCCACCTACAGGCAGTTCAATGTGTTGCATTTTTGGCTTCGTACTAGTCCCTGGATTTTCATCGCACAGACTTCTACCATGTCATTTCTATATCTGGACGGATTGAAGTTATGTAATCATCGCATAAAAGTTAGAATTTTGTTATCGTTTTCATGCAAGGTAGTGGGGAATTTCTCCATGTTTGATGCTCTCCTGACCACAGGCTCAGACCTACAGAGCTGAAACTCACATCACTAACAGTTGGTAATGGCCTGAGAGTAATGGTGTGAAAACACACACCTAATATGACTCTACAGCGCCACCTATGTAAGGCTTCTGACCTAAACTTTTCCGATCTTCACCAAAGTTGCAAAATCAAATCTTTACATCTGTACGAGCAAAATACTACTCTACGTAGAGGGTGCATGTCCCGGAGGTGACCACTAGGGACGCACTTTATCATATAAATGAGCTTTTATATATGTAATCCTGGTCAGATCGGGCTGCCAATTCGTCTGCGTGACGCTTGTGGGACTGGCGCCCAGGAGGCGGTCGCAAGAGGGGCGAGGCCTTTCATCGCCGCTTGCGGCTTTAATTAAAAGTCTTATTTAGAAAACGTTATGTCAATTTTGGTTTTATTAGGAAACCATATGGTTTTATTATAAAACCATAATGATAATACTAATAATCAAGGGGGTACTTTTGTGGGAACAGTGTTGAGCGGGGGACTATCTGCTCAGTCCCTCTCACTGTGACCCTGAAGTGGTTCAACCTGAACTGTGCACCACACGTGACTGATGTAACATCCACAATGTAAACACTATCTCTGAGTCCAAGTCCACACAAGAACAACACATCCTATTGATACACTTTTCAGAGCATTCATGGATTAATTTCATAGTTCCACATGTTTAAAAGTATGTACCATAGTAATACTGACAATCCAGACACACCCCAGCCCAGGTGACCTTACTGACCTGTGAACAGCTGGTTGTCTGTGGTCAGCAGAGCGGCGCCCACTCTGAACTGGCTGTATGGACAGTACGCGTTGGTCTTCACTTTATTTGCTTCACAAATCAAATTCTTCAGCTCGTCCTCAGTCACAGGCTCGTCTGTTCTCTGGCCCACTTCGAGCCGGTTCACACCTTCCATGTTTGTTGTCAGTCTGGGCAGGTGACATGGGCCATTGGGGCTTTAAACCAGGAGGGGGTGTGGCTTAGTGGAGACAGCCAATCAGAGAGAGGACAGTGGCACTGTGCATGAGGCCTTGTTGTTGCCATGTTTTGTGTTGTGGAATTTTGACAGACAGGAATGTGACATGAGCCAGTGTTGTGGTCTATGGGAGGAACATAGGGCTGTTGTTATGCATTTACAACTACAGTCGACGATGTTTGTTTGGGTTTCAAATCAATAAGGCTGACTGCTTCTAAAAGATGAAAAGTTCAAATTTCAAGTTGGGGTATCTAACTTTATTGGTGTTATAAATATATGTTCTTTGGCCTGACAGAATTTTCTTTTTAGAAGTAAATTCTGTCAGGCCAATTATAGTAGTCCACAAAATGCTGTCTTCTTCTAATTAGAAAACATACTTTTGTATACTTGCAAAAAACCTGTTGAGTCACTGAGAGCTGATTGGCTGAGTGAGGGTTGTCACTTTTTCTGTCTGAAAAAGCTGATATAAATGTGTGACGGAGGCCAAACACACATACATGACTACCCCAGTGTTAGGCTTATTTATTAAAAAAAGCTTTTATTACCATTAACCATTTCTCATGAATCACATAAAAGTGCTTATTGTTTGACCCATTAACCCAACAGACCCACCCTGTAGTAAAGTCCTCGCTTGTATCACACATGTATCTCATAAAGGCTCTTTTATCTTCTTCGTTTGAAACACACAGAGATAGCTTCAGTCCTGGATCTACAGCCTCAGTCCTGGCTCTACAACCTGTCTGTCTGTAGGAGCGGATCCCTCTCTCAATGTAGGCCTCCCTGAGGTTTCTCATTTATCTTGGGTCTCACTGGGTTTTTTAAGTCGTTCCTTGACGATGGACGACGGTCTAAGGGCAGTGATGATCTTCGACATTTAAGGGCATTTATTGACAGTGGTCTTCCTGCTCCCTATGGACACTTGACTCCAATGTGTTTGTTATTATTCCGCTTCCTGTGTTTGAACGGTTTGATTCTCTGATCTGTTGTTGGTGATTCGACAACTTTGTTAAGTCTTCTGCTCTGAGATTACTGCTGTTGTGATTTCTACAATTATGAGTTTAAGAGCAGTTCATGAAACATACCACTGGGGGCAGTAGTGAACACAGCCACACAACATTTGAAAAAGTCTCTGAAACTGTGAAAAATATTCACTTGATTTTCTCTTCTCTTTTTCAACAACATGAATTAAAAGAGCTAACAATGTAACAAAGCTGCAGTGTGAGCGTGATCGCCCTCTACTGGTGTATTAGCAGAACCTTGGAGAAGAGTGTAAATGCACTGATTACAGACCCATGGTCCATGCCCCAAAAACCTGTTCATGAACAGCAAGTAGAAATTAGACAAGGTATAATTCATCTCATGTGATCCATCTACTGGTTATAGGAAAAACAGATACAGACATGCAGTGTGTTTGTGTGTATCTGTGTGTGTGCGTATGAATGTTCATGTACTTGTGTGTGCACGTGCAGATCTGTGTATGTTTGTGTGTTGGAGATTGCATGTGTATATTGTATCTGTGTGTGTCTGCACAAATAATGACAGTTGATTTGAATAAATATTGCTCTTTATTTTGATATACAATTCTATTTGGGGGAAAATAACAAAACTGAAACGTGTCAAATTGAGTTAGCATATATATATATATATATATATATATATATATATATATATATATATATATATATATATATATTTTTTTTTTTTTTTCATTTTTACAACAGGAAATACAAAGTCTTCAAATAGTGTTACAGAGCATGTATGAATAAAATTATAATAAAATACATATTTTGAGCTTAGTCTTTTGTGCAGTTTGTGTGCCTGCTCCTGTTTGGACCAGGTTTGACTCAGTCCAGGCTGCTTTAGTCCTGCTTCAGGCTTTTTTATCTGTATTTATTACCCACATGATCCACTCCATAAACTTGTCCACTTTGGTGTAGACTCCAGGGTAGTAAGACCAGGCGCAGCCAATGCCCCACGACACAATGCCCCGAAGTGTCCCGTTACAGATGAGGGGTCCTCCCGAGTCGCCCTGCAGCACAGCAGCACAGTCAAACTCAGACCTCCAGCAACACAACACGTCATACAGATACTTATCCATCAGACGTCTGGGCTCTGAGAGTGTTTTTTCCACCAGAGATGAGCAAGTGCCCAATACAAGAGGAACACACCGTTTTTGCTATTCATATTTGAGTGAAAGATTATGTCAGTAATTTGTCTAACTACCCATAGAAAGTACATTTATGAACAATGCTAACTCACTAGCTTGACAGGGCATTCTCATGGTGGCATTTTGCACTTGCTTTGGCTCCATTCACTTTAATTGAAAAGTGAACTCCTCTTACTCTACCTTAACCCCATAGTCAAGGAGTGGACTGACCGAAGCTGACATCGCCCATAGTTTTGCCAAATGCAGAAGAATTTGTTACAAATGGGTGACCTACAGTGCATCCACAAAGTATTCACAGTCCTTAAATTTTCCCCATTTTGTTATGTTACAGCCTTTTTCCAAAATGGATTCAATTCACAACACAACATAATGACGATATGATTTTTTTTTTTTTTGAGATTCTTGCAAATTTTTTAAATGCAAAAACTAAGAAACCACATGTACATAAGTATTCACAGCTTTTGCCATGAAGCTCAAAATGGAGCTCAGGTGCATCCTGTTTCCACGGATCATCCTTGAAATGCTTCTCCTGCTTAATTGGAGTCTACCTGTGGTAAACTCAGTTGATTTGACTTGATTTGGAAAGGCACACACCTGTATATATATACTGTATATAAGGTCTCACAGTTGACAGTGCATGTCAGAGCACAAACCAAGCATGACGTCAAAGGAATTGTCTGTAGACCTCCGAAACAAGATTTTCTCAAGGCACAAGTCTGGGGAAGGGTACAGAAAAATGTCTGCTGCTTTGAAAGTCCCAATGAGCACAGTGGCCTCCATCATCCGTAAATGGAAGAAGTTTGGAACCACCAGCACTCTTCCTGGAGCTGGCCGGCCATCTAAACTGAGCGATCGGGGGAGAAGGGCCTTAGTCAGGGAGGTGACTAAGAACCCGATGGTCACTTTGTCAGAGCTCCAGCGTTCCTCTGTAGAGAGAGGAGAACCTTCCAGAAGGACAACCATCTCTGCAGAAATCCACAAATCAGGCCTGTATGGTAGAGTGGCCCGACGGTAGCCGCTCCTTAGTTTGGAGTTTGCCAAAAGGCACCTGAAGGACTCTCAAAAAAATTCTCTGTTCTGATGAGACAAAGATTGAACTCTTTGGCGTGAATGCCAGGCGTCATGTTTGGAGGAAACCAGGCACTGCTCATCACCAAGCCAATACCATCCCTACAGTGAAGCATGGTGGTGGTAGCATCATGCTGTGGGGATGTTTTCCAGCGGCAGGAACTGGGAGACTAGTCAAGATAGAGGGAAAGATGAATGCAGCAATGTACAGAGACATCCTGGATGAAAACCTGCTCCTGAGCGCTCTTGACCTCAGACTGGGGCGACGGTTCATCTTTCAGCAGGACAACGACCCTAAGCACACAGCCAAAATAACAAAGAAGTGGCTTCAGGACAACTCTGTGAATGTCCTTGAGTGGCCCAGCCAGAGCCCAGACTTGAATCCAATTGAACATCTCTGGGAGATCTGAAAATGACTGTGCACCGACACTCCCCATCCAACTTGATGGAGCTTGAGAGGTGCTGCAAAGAGGAATGGGCAAAACTGCCCAAAGACAGGTGTGCCAAGCTTGTGGCATCATAGTCAAAAATCCTTGAGGCTGTAATTACTGCCAAATAAAGTGCACCTTTACCTTTACCAAAGGTGCATCAACAAAGTATTAAGCCAAGGCTGTGAATACTTATGTACATGTATGTAGTTTCTTAGATTTATTTTTATTTTTAATACATTTGCAAGAATCTCAAAACAACTTTTTTCATGTTGTCATTATGGGGTGTTGTGAAGAATTTTGGAATAAGGCTGTAACATAACCAAATGTGGAAAAAGTGAAACGCTGTAATTGCCCTTGCAGGCGCAGATGTAAACTAAGGTGATTGGTAAAATTTTATGGCTCATGTCAGGATCACAAAGACAATATAAAAAAAGAAAGCCGCAAGTTGCATCGAACAACCCTTGCAAAGCCTCAGCCTCGAAGTAATCATTGTCACAAACAAGGGCATGTTAAAGCGGACTGTTTCATGTTGAAGGAAAGGGTGTGGAATGGTCAGGCAGGTTCGGGCGGAGCGAGTTTAGCTGCTGAGAGTAAGGCAGTAAATGTGAGGCAGGTCGTCAACTCCTGCAGGTCAAGTGCAGGTCAAAATACTAAGAGACACTGGGGCATGACTCATTCATTAAAGCAGATGTATAGCCTTTGTCTAAGGTGTCTGAGACGGGTAACTGTGTTCCAGTTCGTGGAATAGGATTAAATGTGTTTTTTGTGCCTTTGCACAAGGTGTTTTTGGACTGTTTTGTGGCCAAGTAGCGCCACAAGTTCATGCAGTTCGCCCTGCATTACCAGTTGAAGTGATTTTAGGTAACGATTTGGCAGGTACATGTATGTGGTCGGCTTTGGTGTCACAGGGAGCACGGGAAAAACGGCAGCCTGGACCCTTAATTGCCAAAGTTGATGACATGGGTCAGGTTTTTTCAGGGGCGTTTGCAGCTTGTGCTGTTACTCGTGTTATGTCACAAACAGAGTCTGGCAAGGAGAAAGTTGTCAAAAATATTTTACGGCCTCTGTCTGTTTTTCCCCAGCCCGACAAGCCGTCAAAGGCAGTTCCTTTTGGTCCGACTGTGACAGAGCTCTTTCAGAACTTGAGTATTAATTGTGTGGGTCCTTTACCTAGATCAAATGCTGGATTTACGTACTTACTGACTGTTCTTTGTCAAAGCACGTGCTATCCTGTGGTGTATCCTTTGCGTTCTGTTACAGCTAACTCAGTGGTGCGGGAATTGTCCCAGTTCATCTCTGGTTTTAGGAGACCGGAAGTGGATTAGTTGGGGCACAAACTTGAACTCTCATTTGTTCTCTCAGGTCGTGAAACTTCTTTGTTTACTGTAAAGCACTCCCAAGCAGAGAGCCAGAGAGGTATGGAGCGTTTCCACCAAGTCACTCTTGTGCACTTACTGTATGGAGCTAGGTAAGGATTGGGAGGAGGGTATGCCTTGGTTGAGGCTGGCTGCGAGGGAGGTCACTCAAAGTACCAGGAGTTGTCCAAGCAAGCTTGTGGCTTCTAAGGTTAGAAAGTCTGAGCTGCCTAAAAGATGGTTGGATCATGTAAACGGGTTTAGGCAACGTCTTTATGCAGCACAAGACTTTGCTAAGGAGAAACCGGGGGTAACCAACCGGGGGTAACCAACTGGGGGTAACCAAAGCCAAAATTGAGTCTGAGAGGCACTCCTTTCGGCCTGGTGATCAAGTGATGGCCTTATGTCATATTATAACATCTCCTTTAAACACCTATGGGTGTGGCTAACCACACCCATAGGTGTAGGAAAACCTGCTGAGAAGTACAGATGATGGGTGAGAAACCTTCCTTTGCATCTCCTTTATAAACAAAATATTTTGGTCCTTATTCGGTTCTTGAAAAAACATCTGAACAAAACTATTTCATCTTGCTGCCGGTGCACAGGAAGAGGGCACAGTTGTTTCCTGTCCACTTTTTGGAGCCTTATTTTAAATGTCAGTTTCAAGTCCAGTTGAATTGTATGCGCAATCAGGGTGGTAGGGCGTTCTTCCCTTCTTCCTCTTGCGTATCACTAAGGGCACGGTCACATTTTTACAAACAAACTAGGTCAAGTGGCCCGGATCGTCGCCACAACGGCCCGCGGTCACATGAACGTATTGTCTGAACCGTGCCAGGGAAATTGTGCTGTAGTACAACATTCGGTCCAGCTGGTGGCGCTAATACTAACACCAGCGACTACTGTACCTTGTGGCCCTGGTTGAGATCCGCTTCTTTTCCTGTTTACATTCTGCTACTGTAGCTAACAGCTACAGCTACAGTAGCTAACAGCTCAGTACGGATTGCGTTGTTTAGGGAAAGATACATCTCACACTTGTCCAAAGTGCTCTGATGCAAAGTGCAGCAGTTCAGTGGGTAACATGTGTATGCACACGTGTGTGTTTGTGTGTGTGTGCGCGCCGCAGACACGAGTGCACACACACACGCTTTAGCAACGAGTGTAAGAGCGCTGAGAAATGAATGAAGTGTGTGTGTGTGTTTGTGTGTGTTCTGGTGATTAAATAAAGACTGATTCTTGAATGTCTGAAGTGTTATTGCAGTAGCACCACACTGAGAGCGAGGGTCAGGACAGAAGAGAGCTACACCCGTAGGAAACGCTTTTCTTTGGCTCTGGAGCGACACACTCCCCCAGCGCCCCTCGACCACGGTCCGGGGGCTTATATGAAAGGTGTAACACAAGCGGAGAATACGAAAGTGCAGGAGAGACTGTGTGAAAATGCGAGTCACAGGAATACGTAATGTGACGCACAATATCAGAATCAGAATCAGAATGATTTTTATTGCCACGTAAGTAACAGGAAGTCACAGACTTGGAAATTGCTTTGGCTCAGTGCAACAGTCAGAAAAAAGAGAATAGAGTAAGGCATAATAAATCAGCATACACTTCTAAGGAATAAAATTTAAAATAGGATAATAACAGTTACTATGTACAGAATGCAAGTGCACATGGTGCACACAATATGCGCAGTAGGCAGTAAGGCGACAGCAGTAAAGTGACTTTATGATTGCCAGTAAAGTGATTTAATAGGGGACAGTAAGGTGACTTAAAGGGGCAGGGGGACAGGTTATGAAGAGTTCAAGAGTTCAACGGCAGAGGGGAAGAAACTGTTCTTATGGCGGGAGGTTTTGGTTCTGATGGAACATAGCCTCCTGCTTGAGGGGAGTGGTTGGAATAGTCCATGTGCAGGGTGAGAGGGGTCGGCTGTGATACGACCAGCCCCGGCCTCGAGCTCGGGCGACGTACAGGTCTTGCAGCGATGGAAGGCTGCGGCCGATCACTTCCTCTGCAGAGCGCACAATGCGCTGTAGTCTCTGTTTGTCCCTGACTGCAGACATACTGGGATCCTGTGCATCCAGCGTGGTTGTTTATTCACAATGAATCAACTGCCCCCAACTGACCCCCTTAATCCACGCTGGGAAGCGGGCCCACCAGGGTTCCATTTTAGGTCCAGTCCTTTTTAACCTGTACATGCTCCCTCTTGGCGGTGTCATCAGGAGACATGAAATTAACTTCCACAGTTATGCAGATGATACTCAGCTGTACATCTCCATGTCTCCTGATGACACCAGGCCAATGGATGCTCTTTTTAACTGCATTTTAGACCTGAAATCCTGGATGGCAGAAAACTTTCTCCAGCTTAACCAGGACAAAACTGAGGTTTTAGTCATCGGTCCTGAGGCCCAGAGAGAGAAACTTTTACCAAAACTCCAATCACACTCTTTTAATCCATCACCACATGTGAAAAACCTGGGCGTAATTTTTGACTCTGAGCTGACTTTTATTCCTCACATTAAGAATATAACAAAAATAGGTTTTTATAATTTGAAGAACATCGCCAGAGTCCGCCCCATTCTCTCTCGGGGCAACACGGAGACGCTGATGCATGCTTTTATCACCAGTCGCATTGACTACTGTAATGCCCTGCTCTCTGGTCTTCCCAAAAAGAACATTGCAAGTCTTCAATTACTCCAAAACTCAGCAGCACGTGTCCTGACTAAGACCAGGGGGCAGGACCACATTACACCGGTTTTAAAATCGCTGCATTGGCTCCCTGTGTGTTTCAGGATTGATTTTAAGGTTCTCCTAATGGTTTTCAAATGTCTTAATGGTCTTAGGCCTTCTTATCTTTCAGAACTGCTTTTATCCTATGAACCCTCCCGGCCCCTGCGCTCCTCCGGCAGCAGACTCCTAACCATTCCAAAAGTCAGGACACACACTCACGGCGAGGCATCTTTCCAACACTACGGCCCCCGTCTCTGGAACAGTCTGCCGGAGGAGCTCAGGGCCGCAGAGAACGTTCATATTTTTAAAGCCAGGCTCAAGACACACCTTTTTAGATTAGCTTTTGATTAGTATTTATTAGTCAATTTTTATATATTCTATTTATCTTTTACTTTTTATTATATTGCTATTGCTTTTATTCATGTTTTGTGTGATAGTTCCTTTCAGGCTCACATTTTAGTGTTTTACTTATTGTATTGTTTTTAGTATCCCCAGTGTTTCCTCTGGAGGAGCCCTCTGCGCTGGGAGCGGTGGTTGGCTGTGGCTGTGGGGGTCGGACTCTTGGACCTGGTGGGGGCCCGGGGCCTCGGTTTTGGGTCTCCTCTGGGTCCTGTGTCGTCCCCTTTGGCTATGGGCGGCTCTCTGCTCCTGGCGCTGACGGCTCCTTGGATGGCGTTTCTTCAGCCGGTTGCATCTGAACCCTGCCAAGTCTCTTATCATCGTTTTATTGTTTTATCGGTGCGTGTGTGTGTGTGTGCGCGTGTGTGTGTGGGTGGGGGGGGGTGGGCATGGGCAGGATTGTTTTTTAGCCAAACTGTAAAGCACTTTGTGTTGCATCTGTTGTATGAAAAGCGCTTTATAAATAAACTTTGATTGATTGAATTATACATGTACAGAAATGGTGGTATTTGTGAGTGCAGCCGTGTGACATCACCTGGCAGGAGTCCTTCCCGCCGTAGCGTGTCCCCGCACACATCATGTTGGGCGTCACTCTGAAGTAGTAGTACCACCAGCAGTTTTCGATGTACTCGATCTGCACGGAGCGCAGCACTGGGGACAGACTGTAGGACCACACTGTCGTCACACCCCAGCCCGACACCACGCACTTTGTGTCATCCAACAAAGGTTGGTCGCCCTGGGGGAGCGGGACTAGAGACACCGCATAGGTCAATTTAGCTGGACGATCCAACTGTGTGGACACAGGGAAAAGCAGAGAATAGAAAGTCATATTTATTCAAAGTTAATCTATCTTTTGCAGTAAACCATTTCCTCCTTGCAGGGTGGTTGACTACAAGAAGCAGTTCTGATCCAGATCCCCACAGCCCTTACCCGTTGGCTTTGTGCCAGGGGGCCCTACAGAAAAAACTGATAGACCCTTCTCGCTTCATGTAGCAATGCACCTGCCAGGGTCACTCTCACGATCACTCTGCATGCTCTCGCTTGCTCCACTGTCATACCCCTACAATGTTCTCTTCACGCCATCATTCCATCCATACCTTGGCCGACCTCTGGGTCTACTACCACTCCTACAACTATTCATGACTTTCTTTGTCAATTACTCATCATTCATCTTTTCTTTGCATAAGCCCATAACATCTCAATATACAGTACATCTGCTCTACCAGAGGGGTCACCTCACCCGTTCACTCCCCAACTGTTACATCCCTCATTCTATCCATCCTTGTCAGAATCATTCTTCTCAATCATACTTAATTTAATATATACATGAACTTCTCTTGTATGGTGCAGAAACGTGGGGTATGGGAGAAGGAGAACGTAAGAAATAGAATGTGTGTGTGTGTGGTTTATGATACTAAAATTATGTTAGTCTTTTATTGTGTACCACTTTGTAAACATAGTATTTTGAAATGTGTTGTATAAATCCATCCATCCATCCATTTTCTTCCCCTTAATCCATTTCTGGGTCGGGGGGGGTGGCAGTCAGAGCTGCACCCAGTCCACAGAGCACCAGCCCCTCACTGATCCTCCTGCAGGTGGTGAGTCCACAGGAGCTGAGATCTTTCAGTTGGGGCTTTGGGCAAAGTAGGGTTAAGTGTCTTGCCCAAGGACACAACGACAGCAGTCATCAGTGGGAGTCGTGAAGTAGGTCTTACGGTGGGCTCGAACCCACGACCTTCAGGCCCAAAGGCCAATGCTCTACTAACTGAGCTACTGTCGCCCCGTGTTGTATAAAAAAAAAAAAAAAATAAAAAAAAATATATATTTATTCAAATTATAAATTGTAATATTAATAATATTTATTAAAATAAAATAATAATCCAATTTTATCTTATAAAATAAGCTGAAATTGGATTGAACATTTTAGATTTTTAAATGAATTCTCTGCACAACCTCTCCACTCTGAGTGGAAGTTCCTGGGCTGAATTGTTAAACTCACCTTGATCAACATGATGTCGCTGTCGAAGGTCCTGGGGTTATAGTTGAAGTGCTTGATGGTGAGGCTGACCCTGAAGGTCTGCTCTGTCCTCTCAGACTCGAACAGGTTGTGTTCCCCCAGAACCACTGTGATGATCTGTATTCTGAGAAGCACACACACGCACACGCACACGCACACACACGTAAGCCTCATCAATCAAAATCAAACAACTTTTGAACTAAAACAGCTGATCCATACTTACTAAAAAAGTGACATGTTGAAAAAGTAATGATATAACTGTAATATATATTTTTTTGCTGTAAAAGAAAAGAAACCTGGGGAATATTTTACTGGCTACAAAGGTCAGGAAGGTGCGTTACATTGCTTTCCAACCTGAAATTGATTTGTGGTTTGTTTTTATACTATGCCACAGCGAGTTCCAATGCTAACATATAGTCATATGTCATATAGCATTGGCAGACCTCTCGAAAACGTCTTTACAGGGTGGTCTAAAAGTTGGCTCTGGGCCCAAAGCTCCGTTCCACATGTGTGTCAATGCTGAGGGGGGTGGATGTTTTTGGACCACTCTACTGTAGTTTACTTGCTGTGAATTTTTGAAGTCACTCGTTCAAATGAATGGAGTTGCGCCGACTGACGCATGCGCAGATGCGTTTTTTCACAATTTTCTTGTGGGCGGGACCACTCACAGCCATTTTGGATAGCTCCGGTAGAACACATTTTTTGGGCCATTAGTTAGTTAGGCGGAGATAGGCGTGACTACGTCCGTTAATATATACAGTCTATGGTTCCCACCCATGGAGCCTGGTTGAGTTTACGTAGCTCTAATCGGCTTCTTCCACAATGAATTAGGCTCCAAGTTTCTTTGGAAAAAACCAACCGTTTGGTTTCTGCCTGAACCTAAAGAGACGAGCAGGTAATATGTACGTTCCTACTAGAATAACTCGCACCAAATAGGTTTCCGTACATGTATAAGAGCGCAGCTTACATACAGTATCATCCCAATAACTACTGTATTCTTAGATTCATATGCTTTTTTATTTCTTTTCTGCAACTTTCTCTGAACCTTGTCACCGGTGGTCTTCACAAAATGAACAAGGGACAAATAAGACACAATATCCAAGGATCAGATTGTTAAGATCACAATGTACTTCTGAAATGGACATTCAGTCCAACGCGTGTCTCTGTCTCTTGTCCGTACCAGTTTTGATTACTAGCTTAAAAGCCCTGTAAAAACTCAATTAAACAATTTCTAGCGCTGCCACTTTTCACAACAACATTCATAACAATTTTACATTTCATAACTAATTTACTTGAGATTTGTGACTAAAAGCTAATTTTGTGCGAAGAGGGCTTTACTCTCTGTTTCATTTGACGTGATATGTTTTCCTGTGTATTACTTACGGTCTCCAGCAGTGGGCAGCAGAGGCCACCCACCATTCATCAACGAGCGTCCCGCCACAGTAGTGTTGCCCCCATATCTGGAGTGAGGCCTGGGAACCGATACTGTTCTTCACTACCTCCTGGCCTCCGATGATCCGGTCCTCCTCGGATTTTGCATCTGTAAATGAACCAGGCATTCAACTGCAGACCAGGGTTACGGCTAGATTTATGGGTAGCAACCGAAGATTGTATATAAATGGACAATGCTAACTTGCTAGCTCAACGAAGCTACGACTTTCTTTAACTCCTATTGACTTACATTGGAAAGTAAACTCTTCTAACCCAGTAACTATTGTGTGTGACACTATTCATGTCACACTCACCATTTTGGGCTTAAAAAATCCAAGCTTTAGCGCTCTCTTCCATCTATGATATTTTGATGCATAAATGAGCCCTGACAAATGACCAATCGGATTCTTTCATTTGTGGGCTTGAGTTAGCTACAAAGGTTAGCAAAATGTTATGGCACAAAGCTCACCCCATCAGAACAAATGCCCATATAAGGCATTCGACAAACACTATGGGTGATGTTGGTACTTGGTCAGTCCTACTATACGGTCTATGGTTCCAGCTCGCGCTACTCTCTAGCTGAGGCCGAAATCAGGGACAGAAGACTCCTGATTGGTCGGTTGGTCGGCTCATAGCTGGTTATACAAACAATATACCCAAATCAAAGCGCCAGGATCATGGAGAAGGGAAAACAACCGATTTTAAAGCCCAAAACGGTGAGTGGGACTCACTGGTTACTGTGGTACAAAATGGCAAACTCCTACACTCTTGTTTGTCCACTCCTACAGTCTGAGTTTGGAAACAGACAGAAGGTATGGGGAAGCTTGTTAGTGGCTTTTTCCGATTTCACCACCCTGTGGGTCATGGTTTAGTAGCCATTTTCATTTACTATCTTGCTAAATTACAAAGCTACACAACAGTTTTTCAAAATCAGATTAAATCTGTTGCATTAGCCTATGAATTATGAAATCTTTCTCCTTTATTTAGATGAAAAATACTTACCATTACGATTTACAACGAGAAGGAGCAGTAGCGACAGGAGGCAGACATTCGAGGTCTTCATCGTATTTGTCACTGAAAAGACACAAAAGACACAACAGAAAACTGTTTATTTGTTTATTTCAAGGACAAAAATGTCCAAAAGAGCTTGGTTTTGCTAAAGCAACTTTTGGAGAGAAAAAACATTATGGGACACAAACAGAGCAGCAAAAATGACCCCACAATCACAAACACAGTAGTATTGTATTCAGAGCCATCTCAGTGGCAGTTTATAGAACATATTTCACACATGATCTTCTAGTTAGATCACTATTGTTGTTCGCCGGTTTCACACTATTATTATTCTTTTTTTGACCCTGAAGACATGCACGAAAACTTGCCCATGGGGGGTCTAAAACGACCGGTTCGGCGAAACAGTTGATAAAACGAACGTTTCGAGATTGTCCGACAACAGGCGACTCGATAGCGCCCCCTTGAAAACTCATAATTTGCCATTTCTATTGGAGCCAGGCATGCATATTTTGGAGTAGGTACACGAAATTCAGATGAGTGATAGATCTCTATGAGACGAGCATAAAAGCAGGTCGAAGCACATGTCTGGGACCAACAGGAAGTCGGCCGTGATGGTCTGAAGTTTCGCCAGCAATTTGACTTTTCATTTTTGGAGACCTTAAAGACGCTATACCCGATTTTTTTTCTAAGTAGTTCATAAAAATGCTTATTACTACATAGAAGTTGTATTATAATCCGTCATTTAATTGAAAACTTGAGCTCATTGATTCAGCTGTGTAAGAATACAAGCCGTGAAAAGTGCTGAGCAGAGTCTTAGCGAGACGCTCGTTCTCCTCCACTCACAGAACGAGCAGCGACCAGCCTGCGTCCTCTAGCCTCTACAGCGCTGCTTAACACTAGGGCTTCGACTTAAAAATTTGAATATAATTCTAAAATTAAGACAGCAATTATATTCGAAATGTATTAAATGAATGCAAATAAAATAGTTAGCTCCCAAAGGTTTCACCGGGACGTGCTAGGCAGGTATCAGCTAAGCTAGCTAGCTCCCTGGAACTACATGATAATGGTTACTGCCGGGTTTTTCGCGATTGCTTTTGGTCACATTAAAATAGTAATTTTGTCATGAAAACGATAACAACAAATTCTGAAAACGTCCGTGCATGTGTGTTAGTGATGTATATGTATACTGTATTGTCCGATTAACATTGAATGGTGTTGATTGATTGATATGTATTTGTTTATTGAGCGTGGCTAGCTCAGCTAGCTCCGCTAGTTTCTCTTGTTGTACTTGCGGAGTAATGGCAGTATTTTACACACCTGAATTACAATCAGAGATTGCGTTGCCAAAGGGCAGCGGTCAATATTGGTTTGAGAGTTCTGTTATCAAGAAAAAAATGATCGGTAGAATTACATTCAAGTCAATGGAGTGTTCTACTGCTGCTGTGAGGAGCTGTATAATAAATAAGCCATTGAGCAATTTGGGGGGCGGTGCTAAACATTCAAACATTGCAGAAACGGGTATAGATCCTTTAACTCATTGACTGCCAGCCCATTTCAAAACAGCTACTCCCATATTGCCAGCCGTTTCTGGTGATCTGAAATCTAAAACTAGATTCTGAAAGAATGGGCTGTCTACTCTCACCAGCAAAAAGAATTTTGTTTCTATCTTGTTTAGTTCTTCTGTAATCCCCAGTTGAGTAGAGGGAAGTTTTATTGAAATCACCAGAAAGCTGAGAAAAAAGGGCCACAAACAGTGCATCTAGCTGTGTTCAAACCATTCATAGCGCAATGCTGCCATCTGCTGGCTCCATAAAGTATTGCCTCAAGCCAATCTCCACATATTAGATTCAATGGACAGCTGGGAACGTAAAAATAGCGGGAAACGCAATTGACGTGTTAACACGTCATTGGCAGACAACGTTACTATTTAGTTTGACGTGTTAACACGTCAATGGCAGTCAATGAGTCCCTGGTTTTTCATCACACAGAGTTCTACCCAATCTGGACGGAATGAAGTTATACAATCATCGTGAAAAAGTTAGAAATTCTTCACCTTTTTTGTCCCTCGCCATGGCGAATAAGGCCTTTGTTTTGGTCGTTTTCGCTGAGCCCTGAGGGCCACAGGCTCAGACCTACAGAGCTGAGACTCACATCAGTAATATTAAGTTATGGCCTGAACGCAATGACACTAAAATCATTCGCCCAATATGAGCTCTTTAGCGCCACCTGTCGGAAAGTAATAGGGCACTAGTGCTCGGATCGGTCCGAAAGTGTAATCTCTGGACGGAGACGAGCAAAATATTACATTACGCAAAAGTTGTAAGTCCCACACCTGACCACTGGGGGCGCCGCAAAGTGGATGAAAGAGCTATTTGGGGCAAAATGTTGGTCAGATGAGGCCAGAATGAATGAATTCACACATACAGCGTATGAGTGAGAACACAACGATATGAATCAAACAACTGTGAGTGTAGTTCCCACCTCTGCACCTTCTCCACCGACTCCCACTGATGACTGCTGTCGTTGTGTCCTTGGGCAAGACACTTAACCCCACTTTGCCCAAAGCCCCCACTGAAAGATCAAGGCTATGCTCACACTCAGAGAGCAGCCGTCCTCCTGTGGACTCACCACCTGCAGAGGGTCAGTGAGGGGCTGGTGCTATGAGAGTTGGGTGGCATCTCTGATTGCCACCCCCCTGACCCAGAAATGGATTAAAGGGAAGAAAATGGATGGATGGAACTGTGAGTGCAACAGCGCCACCTACAGGCAGTTCCACGTATTGTGTTTTTGGCTTCGTACTAGTCCCTGGTTTTTTCCTTGCACAGACTTCTAACATGTAATTTCTCCATCAGGGCGGATTGAAGTTATACATAAGTTAGAATTTCGTCATTGTTTTCATGCGAGGTGGTGGGGAATTTCTCCATGTTTGATGCTGTCCTGACCACAGGTTCAGACCCTGACTAACAGTTGGTAATGGCCTGAGCGTAATGGTGTGTAAATACACACCAAATTTGACTCTACAGCGCCACCTATGGATTGTTTCTGACCTGAACTTTTCCGATCCTCACCAAAGTTGCACAATCAAACTTTTACATCCGTACGAGCAAAATAGTAATTTACATAGATGGTGCATGTTCCGGACGTGACCACTAGGGGCGCACTTTATCCTATTAATGAGCTTTTATGTACGTAATCCTGGTCCAATCGGGCTGCGAAATTCGTCGGCAAGTACGCCGTGTCACGCTTGTGGGACTGGCGCCCGGGAGGCGGTCGCAAGAGTGGCGAGGCCTTTCATTGCCGCTTGCGGCTTTAATTCAGCTTATTTCTTCTCTATGGTGCCAAATAAAAACAGTTCTCATTACTTTCACCCGAACATATGAAACACATGCTAGTCTAAAGTGGAGGGACTTCACAATTGATCTAAAACCCTGTGATTTTGTAAAAATACAAGTCTACAAATCTGTTTGTTTAGATAGATAGATACTTTACTACTCCCACAAGGGAAAATTCAGGTGACCACCAGTGGTTTAAACAGACAAGATTAAACAAAACAAAACAGACAAGAGACATTTCCTTAAAATCATAAAAAGCAACGTCTATAATCAAAATCTAACCCATGAATTAAACACGCCTTGCTGACAGCAGCTGGGATAATAGTACAGCAGGGGTCTCCAACCTGTAACTCGCCATCCCCTTCCAAAAACTTAATGACATAGAAGTAAACTACATAATGTCATAAGTCAAAATGTTTTGAAGACCAAAAATGTACATAAGCAGAGTAATTACACTTCCAAAACAAAAAACCGTCAAATTGACTGCTCTGGGAGTTCTAGTGTGAAAGGACTAGTCTTTCACACTAGAAGGGTTGGAGACCCCTGGTCTACAGCCTGTAATGAGGTTCTGGCCGGCTGGATGCCCTCGGGTAGGATGGTTGCTCTCTTGGCATCATGGGGCACATACGTCCTCAAAATGGCTGACCAGGGAGAGCTAGAGCACTGAAGAATAGGTCGTCCTGAAATCCTGATCTCCCTGGCCAGGCTCTGGAGAAGACCAGCAGTAGCGGTAGATCTCCCTCAGACCCACAGTGCCTGGAGGGGGGAGGCTTCTTACTGCGCTGGTGTCCTATGGTGTACCTGATGCCGATCTGCTCAAAGCCATTCTTTTGGTGGATTGATTCCAGGTCTGCTTGGTTCGCCTTTCAGCTCATCTCAGTCTTCACCACAACAGTCCCAAACAGCGCCCGCATCGACACAGATGCAGCACCCTGACCTAAGGAATGTCCCAAGATTGTCTGCAAACAGCAGAGATGAAACTTCAGTGGTCCCCGAACCAGACTCTCATTTCATCCCAACACATTTTCAGAAGCATTTTGGCGGAGGTCAACATGCACTGGGAACACATGTTGTCCTCTTTTGCAGATTGAAGTCCATCACATTAAATACCAAGGTGTCCAAAAGTGAACCATACAAGCCTCAATCCCACTAAGTCATTTCAAGGTTAGAAATCTATACTCAAGGAACAATACTTTGTAGAATGAGAGGATAACGAGCCACGTAACAAGAGTGAAGCTCTTACCGTCAGAGTTTGAGCTTTTGCTGCGTTTTTTTTTCTCTAAAATCTACATTTTAATTGCTCTATATGGAAGATAAACTTGCCATAGTCCATTAAAATGTGATTCCCTGGTGTCCTGCACGCACTGCGCTGTGACGTTGCAAATGTAATTCTGACATTTTTTTCCTGTGGTTAAAAGCCGCCACGAGGCCAATATCTTTTTATATCAACTCTGCTATTACGGCTACTTATCATCCAATAACAGTAATTTCCCACTGATCCCCGTCCAGCCAATAGGTTGCGTTCATGTGACATCAAAAAAATCCAAAGAGCTTATATAGTTTCATGTTGTGGTGAAGCACAGCTGAAAAGGTTTTCCTGATAACTATGGTGACTGTCACAATACAAACCTAATCTTTTCCCTGGGCAGTAGTTGAAAACTAGCATTAGCTACAAACTCTGTATGTATCACTTTGCATCTTTCATGCTGTGACTATATATGACTACATTGTCTCTGTCAAATACAAAAATCAAAAAAATCAAACAAAGACTGTTACAACCATGGTCTGATAAATGTTTCCTCATAAAAATGTCTAGAAGTGGTGACAAGATTAAAAAAATGAAGATGTTGACCAGTAGAAAGGACTCTCAGCCATAAAAATAAATATGACGTCTTTGTGAATCTAATCCATATCAAATAATGATCTGCCAAATAACAGTTGTTTTTGAGCGCTCCCTCACCTGGTCGCTCCGTCGGACCCCGCGCTGACACTCTGACACTCTGACGCACACTTGCTCCCATCCACTCCTCTCATTCCGGGGACATCGATCTTTGAGAAAGACTCTAAACCCACTTTTTATACTGAAACCAGGTCTGCGTCAACTATTGTCTCGTGGCTTTTGTGTCGTCTATATCTAAGTGAAAGCGGAGGAGATGACCTAGTACAGGCAAAAGGCCCCTGACAATGAGAAAAGATGCTTGCTTCTCCCTCTAACGCCTCATATTCTAGGTCTTTGTCTGTGTTTTATTGTTCAGTAATGAAAGCAAAGTCCAGCTGTACAGACACGAAACCTAACGCGGACACTATATACGCTGTATTTCTGCAAATCTTTCATGTACCTGTCAGTTCGGAGCAGTGCACAGACAAGACACATCAATTCAATTAAATTTTTATTATTCACAACATCACAGATTGAGATTGTGTGAATATCTTTGTTACTTTCTGAAAAATGACACCCTAGGAAGCTATAGCTACATAGACGCCGTTGCTGTTGGTAAACAAAGCCGGATGCACGCGCAACAAGTTAGCAGAAAGCACTACCACCAGTTGTTATTACCTCAGCACTTGGCTCTTTACACAAGCTATTGCACTTTAAAGCGTATTTGCACTGGGGTTAAACTAACTTTGTGACTTATCCCCTACTTTTGTTCTGGCTATCTTCAATGTTATTGTGTGTCTGTAAATGTTTGCGGCGGCTCGTAGCTGTGGTCGCAAGGTCTCTGGTGCTGGTCCCGGCGGCAATCCCCAAACCCGGTGGTGGACACCGGCAGTAAGGGATGCCGTCATTTCATTTCATTTCATTTCATTTCATTTAATAGTTTATTTGGATAGGGACGATACACATTAATCAACATTGCTGTAAATGTGTCAGTATTAGCTAACAGCTAGTTTCCAACTGTAGTCCCTAGGCAAGGTGTAAAATGCCATCAAAGTGCACTGCAAAAAATTACAATTACATTACAATACATTACATCACTTGACAATATAGAGTAACTAGTTAAAACATTTCAGTTTAAAACACGTAATTAAAACATATAAAAGCAAGTAATGCATCATTAGTGGTTACAATCTTGATTGTCCAATAACCAGGCTTTCAACGTATGTTTAAAAGTCCTGTGTGTGGTGCTATTTTTTATATGGACTGGGATTGTGTTCCAAAACTGAACGGCGCGCACTGAGAAAACTGATTGGCCAAAGGAACTTTTTCTCAGTGGGACGAGAAGATTATTAGAGGCAGCAGATCTGGTGTTTCTGCTGCTCTGCTTAAAAAAAATAGATAGTGGGGGTGGGGCCAGACCATTTAAGATTTTAAAAACCAGAAGACCATCTTGAAATCTTACCAGGTTTTCCCAGCTGAGCATCTTATATTTGGCCAAGATGCTACAGTGGTGATGCCGGAAAGGTTTCCTATTCAGGACTTTTAACGCCTGTTTGTAGACAGACTGGATAGGCTTCAGGGCTGTCTTGCATCCCTGTGACCAGCTGGTAACACAGTAGGTAAGATGCGGCATTATCATCGAATGGAAAAATAAAATGGCAGATTCCTGGTTTAAGTTACTTCTGATGAATTTAAAGTTTGCTAAATTTAGCTTTACTATTCGGTTTACTTTCTTTACCTGTTTCTTGAAAGAAAAATGACAGTCTATGACAACACCCAGATATGTGTATTGTGTCACTACATTTATTGTGTTACCAGCAATACACACACTGGGGTTTGGTGAATTAGAATTTTGTTTAGAAAAAAACATACATTCTGTTTTTTTCAAATTCAAGTGCAGGCACGACTTAAAAAGCCATTCTGAAACGTGAATCATGGTTTCAGTCAATTTTTGGGCTGCTTCCGCCTTATCTTTACCATGTACATAGATCACAGTGTCGTCTGCATACATTTGAATATCACATCCAGAACACACAGATGGTAAGTCGTTTATATAGATGCTGAACAGGAGCGGCCCCAGGATAGAACCCTGGGGCACACCGGCAGTGTAAGCCCGATGGGACGATAGACTATTATTTATCCGGACCGCTTGTGTCCTGTGTTCTAGATATGATTTTACCCAGTTTACCGCTTCAGGTGAGAAGTTGAACAGTGATAGTTTGGAGATGAGGACATTATGGCTGATGGTGTCAAATGCTTTTTTCAAGTCCAGGAAAATGGCACCGACTACCCCCCCTTTATCCATTTTAGCCTTTACGCTTTCAATGAAAAAGCAGGTGGCAGTGTCAGTGGAATGGTTGGCCCTAAAGCCAAATTGCATGGGGTGTAGGTTGAAAGGAGAGTTGTTAAGATGGGCCTGTAGCTGATCAGCTACACATCTCTCCGCAATTTTTGAGACAACGGGCAATATGCTGATAGGTCTGTAGTTTGTGACTTCTTGTGCATTTCCAGACTTGAAAACTGGTGTAACAATTGCTGGTTTCCAAGTAGTAGGGCACAATGACTGTCTGAAAGAAGAGTTTATCAGGCTGAAGAAGGAGTCCTATCGAGCCATGATGGTTCGTGGGACTCCTGAGGCAGCTGTCCAGTACCGGCAGGCCAAACGTGCCGCGGCCCGGGCTGTTGCAGAGGCAAAAACCCGGGACTGGGAGGAGTTCGGACAGTCCATGGAGCATGACTATCGGTCGGCCTCGAAGAGGTTCTGGCAAACCGTCCGGCGCCTCAGGAGGGGGAAGCAGTTCTTTGCCAACACCGTGTATGGTGCGGGTGGAGGGCTGCTGACCTCGACTGGGGATATTGTCGGGCGGTGGAAGGAATACTTCGAGGTTCTCCTCAATCCCCCCGTCACGTCCTCCGTCCAGGAGGCAGAGGCTGAGGATGTTGGGGCGGATACTTCCATCTCCCTGGCCGAGGTCACCAAGGTGGTTGGTAGCCTCCATGGTGGCAAGGCGCCGGGAGTGGATGAGATCCGTCCTGACTATCTAAAGTCTCTGGATGTTGTAGGACTGTCTTGGCTGACACGTCTCTGCAACATCGCGTGGCGATCAGGGGCGGTGCCAATGGAGTGGCAGACCGGGGTGGTGGTCCCTCTCTACAAGAAGGGGGACCGGAGGGTGTGTTCCAATTATTGTGGGATCACACTCCTCAGCCTCCCCGGTAAGGTCTACTCCAAGGTACTGGAGAGGAGGCTAAGGCCGATGGTCGAATCTCGGATCCAGGAGGTGCAGTGTGGTTTTTGTCCCGGTCGCGGAACACTGGACCAGCTATATACTCTCCATCGGATACTTGAGGGTTCATGGGAGTTCGCCCAACCTGTCCGTATGTGCTTTGTGGATTTGGAGAAGGCGTTCGACCGTGTTCCCCGGGGTGTCCTTTGGGGGGTCCTCCGGGAGTACGGGGTCCTCTGCTGAGGGCCGTCCGGTCCCTGTATGACCGGAGTCAGAGCTGTGTTCGCATTGCCGGCAGTAAGTCAGACCTGTTCCCGGTGCATGTTAGCCTCCGCCAAGGCTGCCCTTTGTCACCGGTTCTGTTCACTGTATTCATGGACAGAATTTCTAGGCGCAGCCAGGGGCCGGAGGGGGTCCGGTTCGGGAACCACAGGATTTCATCTCTACTTTTTGCGGATGATGTCGTCCTGTTGGCTCCAACGAACCAGGACCTGCAGCATGCACTGGGACGGTTTGCAGCCGAGTGCGAAGCTGCTGGGATGAGAATCAGCACCTCCAAATCCGAGGCCATGGTGCTCGACCGGAAAAAGGTGCCTTGCCCTCTACAGGTGGGTGGAGAGGTCCTTCCTCAAGTGGAGGAGTTCAAGTATCTCGGGGTCTTGTTCACGAGTGAGGGAAGGATGGAGCGTGAGATTGACAGGCGGATCGGTGCAGCGTGCGCAGTGATGCGGTCTCTGTATTGGACCGTTGTGGTAAAGAGGGAGCTGAGCCGAAAGGCGAAGCTCTCGATTTACCGGTCAATCTTTGTTCCCTCCCTCACCTATGGTCATGAGCTGTGGGTAATGACCGAAAGAACGAGATTGCGGATACAAGCGGTCGAAATGAGCTTCCTCCGCAGAGTGGCTGGGCGCTCCCTTAGAGATAGGGTGAGGAGCTCAGTCACACGGGAGGAGCTCGGAGTAGAGCCGCTGCTTCTCCACGTCGAGAGGAACCAGTTGAGGTGGCTCGGACATCTGTTTAGGATGCCTCCTGGACGCCTTCCTGGGGAGGTGTTCGTCCCACCGGGAGGAGGCCCCGGGGAAGACCCAGGACACGCTGGAGAGACTATGTCTCTCAGCTGGCCTGGGAATGCCTTGGGGTCCCCCCGGACGAGCTGGAGGAGGTGTGTGTGGATAGGGAAGTCTGGGCGTCTCTGCTTAGACTGCTGCCCCCGCGACCCGGCAACGGATAAAGCGGAAGAAATGTAAATGTTTGCTTGCTACATAACCAATTTCCACTAGTGGGTCGTCTCCTCTGAGACGACTGCTGTTGGGATTTATTTTAAACTGAGCGGTAGGTCTATTGATACTGAATGACCAGATCTCAACCAGGACTGAGCCATGCAGGTCTCTAAAGGAGACATAGGCAAGGCAAGGCAAGGCAAGTTTATTTATACAGCACAATTCATACACACGGCAATTCAAAGTGCTGAACAAAACAAGAAAGCATTAAAATCATAAATAATCACAGAACATTAAAAAGAAAGATAAAAATATAAAATCCCTCAGTTGTATGCACAGCTAAACAGAACTGTCTTTAACCTGGTTTTAAACATTGTCATTGAGGAGGCCTGTCTCACATCTTCAGGAAGACTGTTCCAGATTTTAGCAGCATGAATCTGAAAAGCAGCCTCCCCCCATGTTTAGTTCTGACTCTGGGCACTAACAGGAGTCCAGTCCCTGTGCTCCTCAGAGTCCGGGCTGGTTCATATGGGGCTAACATGTCACTAATATATTTTGGTGCGAGGCCATGGAGAGACTTGTACACAAGCAGAGCTGTTTTAAAGTCTATTCTCTGAGCCACAGGAAGCCAGTGCAGAGACCTGAGAACTGGACTAATGTGGTCGTACTATGTTTTTGATCCTGGCAATGTTTTT